TTCTTCTTTCTCCCACTGACTTTTGCACTTGGGCCTGAAGAGTTTTACCTACACAGCGCAGAAAACTTTTAACTGTGAGTAAGGGCACTCTTGATGTGATTCTTATCGGCAAATGACCCACAACTAACATCCAACAGTAAATCAGGATAAAAAACTACCGGTAATTGATTTCCTGAAGGGAACTCCCAAGGTTCTATCTGTCCATCCATCCATCTATCCATCCATTCATCCATCCATCTATCCACCCATCCACCTACCTAACTACCTGCCTACTTCCTATCTTGAGACTCTTGTTTGCATGTTCACTTTTCCCTTCAGTTTTTTGAATTCCCATGATCAGGGAATTCAAAAAACTGATTCACAGGTAGAGAAGTCAAGATTCTGTCAGACATTCATAACACTGAGCTCTGAGGTCTCTGCACAACTATTGCATGTCATCAGGAACTTTCTGTACAGCGGTAAGTTTTGGAATCCCCACACCTGAGTACGGAAAACAGCTTCTGTCTGGAATGTGTTCGCTTTCTGGGCATTTTGCAGTGGAACAGAGGATACGATACGGAAGTCTTGAAACATTTACTCAATCTACCAGTGTACTTCGTGTCTTGCAATGCAATAAACTCCCCCTTGCCCTTTCATACTCAGCTGTCAACAAGTTTCAAGACTACGTGGGGATGCATGCAAATGTGACATAAAGATAGCAAGGATGGTGTTAAGGTTCCTTCATTTGTAGCCAGTCCATACATGTAGGAATCCACTGTTTTGGGGGACAAATATATCTTCCTACATCACACAACACAAACTAGAAACCTGTGGGCAGAAGCCTCCACTCCTGCTCAAGGCCCCGGTCCAATTCTCTATGCAAACTGCAAAAAAAAAAAAAGACTGCTGCTCCTCGGAAGGTTGTCCAGCAATTGAAACTGCAATAAAAACTTTTCAGGCTTTGGGTGCCATCCATCACCAGCACTGGTGGACAGATGCCTGTGGAGTGTTCCAGTCAGACTAATGTCACTTAGCCATTTTAATCACCCAAAGACACAGCTATCTTAAAGTAAAAATACCTGTGGGAAGACCACACATCTGTCCTTAAGACACAGTGTCTCTTTCATATTAATTATCCTGTCCTGTTCTGTACGAAACCCTCATTATACTGGGGCTCTCATACTGAGGTGGTATAAACCAGTGGTCCACAACCGTTTTTGTACCAAGGACCGGTCACTGCGGACTAGTAGCACCTGATGGAAGTTGATTGTTGGAAGAAATCTTCAAAATACATCTTTTAGACTTTATAGGAGTCAATGACATTATTTTGAAATATAGCCAGATTATATTTGAAAGTGGAAGGTACATGGATATGACTGGATTCTTTCTGAATGAAGTAAATTAGTACAAATTAAGTACATTTTTCATTGTGTCCCACTACGGCCAGGTAACAAATGATCTACGGCCCGCTACTGATACACAGACCTGGGGTTGGGGACCCCTGGTATAAACATTGACCTGTGAATTAGAAAGAACCATTTCATGTAAATTCACAGTGGTGTCTTTTTCTTTTTCTTTTTGTTTAGTGTCAGCTATCTTAGAGAAAACCTTCATCGCAATTAATTTACTGCGATTTTTCGAAATAATTTACTTGGCTTTTCATCAATATGGTATATTCACAGGCAGAAAGTAAAGAGTAAATAAATGGATGGATGGATGGATGGATGGATGGATAGATGCATGGATAGATAGATGGATGGATGGATGGATGGATGGTTGGATAGATAGATAGATAGATAGATAGATAGATCATCATTTACTTCAACAAAAAGTACAACAAATATACAGTTTAAGTTATTTAACTGGATACAAGAAAAAGTATAGAATCTGTCCAGACTTTATATATTTTTAAAGAACTCTCACTGCATGTAGTCTCGCCAGTGTCTAGGTGTTATGACAACTATAAACCAATGCCAAAGCTGAAAGCACATTAACCACTTTTTCTACAGCAAGGCACAAAGGGGTCTAGTCGCCATGGCCACATTTAAAAGGATACAGAAAAGTGTAAGAATAGTTTAGAGGTTCATATCAAATCCAGATAAAAGCTTTGCTCTTTGAGATTGAAGGGCAGTCAGCAGAGTCTCAAGTTCCTGGCTGAGCTGATCTGTTTATTCACTGAATTGGGGGTGGTGACCGTAAAGATAGGCTAAAGATAGGATCAGAAGCCCTTAAAAACCGTCAGATACACTGGAGCCACAGATCTAACACCTTATCTCACGGAAAACTGCATGGTTACCCTCCTTGGCAGAGGGCAATTATGATATGAATGATATAAGTGATAAATAAAACATCAAACAGAGTTCAGTTCTGCAACAGCAAACGGGACAATAAATGAACTGGTAACAAATAGCAGAAGTACAGTTTTGTACGCCTTTATCTGAGATTTAGAACATTAGAGTTAGCATGTCTACCTCTCCCCTCCATGCCTCAGGTTACTGCATCAGAATAAGTGGTGCAGTAGTACCTGGCTGAAGTTTCTGGGGCCCTCACTAGAAAGTCTGTTTGGAAGAGTTTATAAGCGGTCAAGAACAGAAAAGGTACCTCTAACTGCAAGTGTCAAATCCAACCCTGGAGATGTGATTGACAGGAAGGGCTAGCCCAGGGCTGCCCAATAAGTAGGATCTAACAGTAGATCGCAAAGGGAGTGGTGGTAGATCATGGGCAATAAAAATAGAAAAGATTAATACACAATTATAATTTTACAGTGTGTAGTACTGACCGTGTAGTTTAAGAATGTAATCATACTATGCCGTACAGCTACATGCATTTCATCAGTACCCCAACCGATAATGTCTATGTGAAGTATATTCAGGGAATATATATTCAATGGTTTCAATTTAGGTAGGTCACTTTAGTCTGGTTATGTGGATAGTAGCGAGAAATGTGTTTTCAGGGAAAAATAGGAATCAAAGGATTGGTTCTATAGTAGTTCCATAGTGGAGCGGTTAGCACGCCTGCCTTGGAAGCAGAGAGCAGGGAGTCCTTCGATTCCCAGAGGAGCCACATGCTTGACGCTCGATAATGCTAATGTAAGTCACTTTGGATAAAAGCATCTGCTAAATGCATAAATGTAAATGAACCTGTCTGACATGAATCTCTTGCTCATTCCGCAAAAAGAAAAATGTTGTTGAGTTGCACAGTTCCAAAAACATTTAATATATGAGTGATACCTCTCTAATGCATGATCAGAGTGATCAAGTTTGTTACTATTTATTAAGAAAATAAATTATATTTATATTAAATTATTAAAAAAACCCCTGCTGGTTCTGGTTCCAGGTCTGCTTACTATTATTATCAAATTGGGACTTGCTTTCTTTTGTTAAAATGCTAGAAGATATCGATGTCTCCCAAGATGAAAATGCCTAGGCTCTTGCCATGTTAACATTAGTAACACACCAAAGTAAATAAAAAACACTTCCTGACTGATGTAAAAATGAACTTATGCTACCATGCCAAGAATGGAATGAACAAAAAATTATTAACTAGGGGTCACATGAAAAAGTGAAATGAAATTTTAAATACTTTAATACAGGGTTAAAACAGCTTCACTTTTGCTATTTTAGCGGTGTTAGCATGCTAGCAACCCTGACCATGAAACACAGTGTGAACAACTAACGTTTTTGTTTGTTCTCTGGAGGATTTTGCCAAAAGTATGAAAGTATTTCCTAACCTACTGTCTCATTCCAAGAGTTCCCATATGTAGCTTGGTTGCTAAGCTAAGCTAAGCTCTTGTAAGTTGCATTGGATAAAAGCAGATAAATGCTCTTTTAAATTTTATAATAACTTCTTTAACAGACATCCTAGGTTTAAATGTGTAACTTACTTTATTGGTCTTTAACAAGGCTGGCTAAAGATGTGTGCTGGGAAGGAAAAGTGTGGCAGCAAGAACAATGTTGCTGAGGCATAAAACCTCTCAGTGAATATAAATGGGGAAACTTGTGAAATAGCTCCTCGGATTAGATCATCTGTCACTGTCATATTTGCATAGTCTCAGCAGGTTTTCTGACAAAAAAAAGAAAGAAAAAAACCACCGACTGCACAACAAATAGAAAAGAATGACTACCCCCCCCCCACCCCCCTTTTACAAAAAACATATAAATATAGAGGCAGTCATGTATAACCAGAGAAAGGGCACGGTTTCAAGATAATCTTGTTAGGGGTCCACATCTGAAAAAAACCTTGCATCACGTCAGCCAAGAGAAAAAAGTGTCTGCTGAGTGCTGGCTCACACCCCCAGCCTCGAAAGTGTTAACTAGTTTTCTGTACTACGTAGAAGAAAGTCACAACCAGCCGTAAGGATCGGGGGGTGATGATGAAGGGAGGCTGAAGGTACTCACCCTTCACAGCCTAGCAATTGTTCGCCTGGGAACAACTCGGACATATAACATCTGATGTAAGTCTCTTTGGTCAAGAATAAAACAAAACTTAAAGAAGTCACTTATGAAGGCGGGCTATCTGTGTGCACCAATACTAATGGGGAGTGCATTTAGTGCATTTAATAGACCCCGAGTTTCTCTCCATTCTCACTGTTTCCAAGGAGACTGCAGCGCATTGGTATTCTGAGGGGACACTTCATAAGCAATTGAGGGAGAAAGGAAAAGAGTATGAAAAAATAAGGAAAGCAAGCGAAAGCAATGAGATGGTGTGGAAAACAAGTGCAATGAAGACGTAAAGAAACTGTAAATATTTCAAACAAATACAGACCATTCAGCGTACGAAGCGTTTGGCTGTGAAGACGTGCGTTTACCAAGATGGCGTTCAACACAGATATATCATTTCAGATGATATACGCGTTAATGTCACATGCGATTAAGCACATCCGCATTTGACAGTGTGGCTGGGTGACAGTAATGAGGCATGCAATGTATGTAAGTAAATGTACAGCACAAACAAGTGAAGCAGCTGTGTGATGTAAACAGCGGCGACTCGTGCAAATGCAAAGCCAAGAAAAGCTTCCTTACCCATAAACTCGATGCCCGTGTGATCTGTCGTTCCATTCGAGCAGAAGAAAGAGTAGGAGAGACACAGAGAATACATTTTTAATTAATGTCATTGTGCGTTGCCATTGTTTTACATTTCATTTTAAGATCAGCGTGGTTGTGTGTTTCTTTTTTTTACGTAGGTTGTAGTATGATACCTTTATTCGCATCACAGAAAGGCAGGAAAAAACACTGGGGAAAAAATGCATAATGAAGAAGGAAAAAACGAACAGTATATAAGTCGCACCGGAGTATAAGTCGCACCAGTGCCCTCTAGCGGTTGTCAGTGTGAAAATAACGAACATGTAAATTTTCAGCGGTACAGGACTGGCAGATAAGTGCCCTCTAGCGGCTGTCAGTATAAAAATAACAAAAGTAAAATTTCAGTGGTACAGGAGCAGCAGATACTGGTACACAAGCCTAGAGACATTTCCTATGTAAAATTAAAATATAATAAAATTTTAACAAAATTTAAAAGTTTACATTTATATAAATTATTTGTGAATTCCAGCCATAAAATTCCATTAATTTCCCAAAGGGAACTCCCGTAGGATTAATAAAGTGCTATCTCTCTCTCTATCTATCTATCTCTCTATCCATCTATCTATCTATCTATCTCTCTATCTATCCATCCATCTCCCTATCTATCTATCTCTCTCTCTCTCTCTCTCTCTCTCTCTATCTATCTATCTATCTATCTATCTATCTAAAGAGGCTGCCTTTATAAGAAAGACCAAAGAAGTGATGTCACTGCTATCTCTGACCACACTGACTGAGATTTATCCACGTGGCCTTGATTCTGTGTGTGGTGAGCTGCTCTTTCTAGAAAACTCTGTCCAATCTGCTTCTCATCTTATCAGGCAATGCTGGCTGTTCATGTTTCACATTTAGCAATGACCCAGAGAAACCTCTCCCTCTCGCTATGATCGGTGATACCCGTTCTGCCCTTCGAGATACCTGTAATGTGCGTTTGAGGAAAATGATGAAGCACTTCTTAATGAACGTTTGGAGATAAATCTCCATCGGGATTTACACTTCAAAGTTCGACCACACGCCTTAGGAATATTAAGCTTTCACTAAGCCAGTGGTTCTTGTTATTATCAGATATCAATTTTACACCGCCTTCAATCAATCCTTTTTTTTTTTGCCAATATTTTGATAAAATTTACAACATTGGACAATATTCTGCGTTACGTTTAATTCATTCATTCCATCCGCAATTTGGGAACCTCTGCACTAAGCAATCCTGCATTTGTGGAGGCCGGTGTTGTTTCTTTAAATTTCTATAAACACCATACATTTGTCACAAATATTTTTGTAAATGATTAATATGAATTATTTTGGTCATTTATTGTAATGTTTAAAAATATCCGGTATTGTAAAACAAAATAAATTTACGAATTCTTGCAACATTTGTTTCGTTTCGCTTTGTAGCTAGCAATGCGTGGTAACATCTGAGTTACACAGAAATACACAGAGATAGTATTATAATAACTGCAGTGACTGTTGATCTCCGTGGAGACAAAGGGAATTGATGTTGTGATCTGTCACCATATCTGTCAAAGTGATGGAGAGTGTGCAGTTCGTCAATCCTCTGGGCAGAGATATAAGCACTGCTGCCGCCAGGGTTAGCAACTCAATTCACCATGGAGCTCAATGAGTAGAGCTTAGCACTAAAGCTGCAGAGGTTAGGGATTCCATTTTCTGCAGAGCTCAGTGGGCAGTGCATATATCAGCGCACGAGCTGTCAGGACGTGAGCTTCGGTTTTCGCTGGGGCCACCTATACTCAAGACGTATGCACTGCAGCTACTGCAAACCACACAACATGATTCATAGGTGCCATAAGTGGAATGCTGTCTGAGGAAACTGATGACCTATGGTTCACTGAGTGTCCAAGAGAGTCCATACTAAATGCCATGTTTGAATCGAAAACATGCACTGGGAAGTTTTACGATAGTATTTTTAAAACCTTAACTGCCTGACTATATTATAAAATGAAAAGAAATTGTAAGATTTGAATTTAACAAAAAATGTAAAGCTATAGTTTGGGGGATTATCTTAAATAAATTGGCGGCATAGTCAAAAACAGAGGGAGAAGCATATACTTGGAATATACTTTTGGGTTGAGGGTGGGTGGTTGGGGATGCTGGGGCCAATACCAAGAATCACCAGTATATGGTGTATATCCATCACCCTGGATAGTTCCCCCTTGCCTACATTTCATAAAAAACAAACAAACAAACGAAAAACAGAGAGTAAACACCATCTAAGTTATGTGCTCAATTCAAGGCCCGCAGGCCAAATGTGGCCCGCCAAGTCCTTTTGTGTGTCCCATGGGAGCTTAAAAAAATGTTTAATTGCCTTATACTAAAGTCCATGCTTCTGAGTTTCTTAACTTGATAAATAAATGTTTTATTACACAGAGCAATTTGCAATATTTGTAACATAAATTTATTCAGTTACAACCAGCCCTTCAAGGGGGAACTGTATTGCTGAAGTGGCCCCCCCATCAAAATGAGTTTGACAGTCCTGCTTTAAATGCCTCAGTTAATCACCTTGCCTTATTACATTGATCAGAATGACTCAAATGACAAGGATGAGTCACCACAAACTGCTAACAGAGATAAATATTTTCATCAGCTACATGCAAAGTGGTGGTGGCTGAAAAGTAACTTGTTTTGAATGCCAGCCCATTTATTGGCAGTGGAAATAAAAAAATCAACCATTTGTATTGGGCGTCCAATTTATTGAGTTTTAAAATGCAGTTCTATCCAAAATGATATGTTTCAATTTGGACAATTTTGCGGCACTGTAGATGTTTGAGGCATTACATCTATACTGTATTTTAGTGTTTTTTTGTCTGATTTGCACAATCCTTATCAGCCCGTACTCTCAGATTAAAATAGTAAAGGTGCATTATAGTGTGATTACATCACTACTAAAATGTATAAATAGCATTTTTTTTGTTTCATGAGCTTGATGCCTTTTACAATTGTTGCTATGGAGGAACTCTGATAAACTGATAAACATCAACACTGGAAAGATAGTTTTTATTTGGTTTATGAAATCCTCCATAGATTAGTCACCAGTTAAGTAACCAATACGGAAACACCATACCATACCATACTTTTTAAAAATATATATATCTGTAATACAAAAAATGTACCATAAAATGCAAAAAATAAATGTATATTTAAAAACCTGATTTTCATTTAATTGTCAAATTTGCCACTAATTTACCATTTTCCCAAAAGTCTTTGCTTCCTTTAAGCTCTGCATCAGTCCACAGTCTCAGCAGTACAGTATGTGGTTTACACTTTGTTGGCCAGCCTGTAAAATTGAATGCTTTTCTATCTGACCTTCTTTATTATTGTTTCTTCACAATAAGAGACTTTTGTTTTTCACCTGCGGCGGTTGCTACGGCAACTGTAGACCCTCTTTTATCCGAATCACTCGTGCTCGGTAATGCTGTTATCTGTTACTCTGATGTAAATACTACATGATCGCAAGCGAGCACAAACTAAATACTTCGTACCTGCACCCAGTAATCATGCAGTCACAAAGTATTTACATTTTTAAAAAAGGCTCTTCTGAATATTACTAACGCATTTGTGATTCGTCCTCGCTAAGGTTGATGACTTGGGAATTACTTCACAAACCAAAGTATATAAGCAGAAGTATATTAGAAAAATAAATCATATTTATTGAATAGTGAATCAAAAAACTTTACGTACATGAAGTTTTTCTGCACTTTCAACGTAGCTTTCATAATTCATCAAGAGGAACGGATTGAACACCCTAACGGGGTGCTTCTGGCCCACGGACTAATTCCCATGACAGGGTTGTGCTAACAAAAACAACTGTTGCCGTGGTTACTTTTTTTAACCTTAACCCTTAAATTAACACAGAAAGTTAGAGCACGGTGATTGTCTTCAAACACTTTCAAAAGAAAATCTGATTCCCCACATATAGCAATTGCGGACCCAAGTACCACCAGTGGTACGTCCCCCGTAGTTTGAGCACCAACAGAGCAGGTCACTACATTAACCTCTACAAATATTAAAGGCTCATTGTTTCTGTATTCATTGAACTGCGACCAGTCAGACAATCCATAACAGAATTTACATAAAAACCAAAGAAGAACAAACAGGAGAAAGAGAGAGAGAGAGGAAGGGAGAGGGAGAGAGAGAGAGAGAGAGAGACACAGGGAGAGAGAAGGAAAGAAAGCGGGAGCGAGTGTGAATTCAACCAGGATTATGTGTTTTGCAAAAATCTTTTCAACACACCCAAAATTATCTTTCCCTTATTGTAAGGCAAGGAAAACAGACAAAAAGCTCTGACCACTTGAAATAACTTTCAGAAAACCTTACTTTTAACTTACTTTTGTATAAAGAAATACTTTCTAAAATAAATTGACCGATTCTTCTTGTGTTAAGAACTTTTTTTTTTCATTTGTTTGTTTCGTTTGTTTACTTGTTCGTTTTTTTGTGTTTTGTGGAATAAAAGGTAACACACACACAAAAAAAGAATGCCTAACAAATTCAAAAAAGTCAAGGTGGGATGTTGCTAACAAAGAGCTGCCAGAAATAAGAAAATAAACATAAAAAATAATAAAAAATGAATACAGACAAACAAAATACATTGCAGATTTGAGACAGCTTTTCACTTTCTCAAGTTAGCAATGTAGCATGCGGCCTACAGCATATTGTTTCTGTTGTGTTTCTTCAGCCATACTCCTCTGGAAACAGCATCAGAAACACATGTTCATAAAAAGTTTGCCCCCGAGCTGCTGTCCGCCTGATATTGAAGTATATTTATATACCAGAAATGATTCAGTCGGCAGGGGAAAAAAAAAAATCCATGTAGACATTTAAAGCAATTTTAGAAAAACACATTTTTTTCCAGCCACAGGGGACTTGGCTAGTGTTCTGAACCTACTGCAGAAGCTAATAACAGTACAACCTGACAACAGAGGGAAGACTCAAGAACTAGGAACTGAACCGGT